ATTTATGCGTTGTGAAAATGCGGCTTGCGTTCGTCATTTCATAGAATTGAAATTGACGCGCTAAACCAAAACCAGTTGACGGCAATCAGTGAGATAAAGTTCATTGTGAATTTTTGTTCTAACACTTAAACTCAGATAATCACTCAGTAATGTTCGATACTCGGAGCAGTTCACATTGATTTGATCACAAGTATGATTTACGGTTGATTCATTTCAAGGGAATTCACTGAGACGCATTTATAGAAATGAACGCTCTTTGCTTCAACACGCTAGCAACCTGAACATTCGTGGCCCACCTTGTAACAAATACTATTTAATTCTTGTGGGCAGTGTTTTTTTATGATCAATACCAGTTTTGACAAAGACGATGACGGACGGACGTGTGCCTAGTTGAAAAGAGCGACAGTAGAATAGAGCACAAGAGTCCTGGTGAATGATAACATTGAGTTAGTTAGATAAGAATACATGGGGTAACATATGATGAAGACGTTATCTCTGCAATCCCTTTCCATACTCCGGTTCCAAAAGAAGCAAACAAATCACTTCAACAATATCCTATCGAAGAAACGCACCTTGTACTCATTTTTCGGTTTATCTAAGCACAGAAAAGTTTGTTCGAGCGACAGTGTGTATGCAAACAGACAATCATATTTCAGAGCGGAATAAAACTGTAAACGACGAGATTCACTATACAATCGAATCGAGTCCTTCAATACTCTCATGTAACAAGTAATCCGACTCAGAATGTTTCCAATCGAGTCATAACACTGAAAGCTAGTAGTGAGATAAGTGAGGTGTGATGCCTGTAAAAAGCTTACAAAGATTGAGAATGCTATCATTTTGAGGAAAAATAAAGACCGATTTTATGAGCTACCAGTTGGTCAGGTCAGTATTATACCAGTTAGGCCTCGGGACCGCGATCCTCAGGTAGGTCGATGAATTTGCACACCTCAGAAACCCATTCAGGTCGAGACAGTTGTCCAATACTTGCTAGCTTTTCAGTTTATGTTCAGAGTTCTCTGTACACGATGAGATTCATTATATAATACAGGTAGTTATCAATCAATTACCCGTGTAATACGAGTATAATCACCTGGAAACAGACCAGGCTTTATGGGTGAAACGTTTACACAGACTAACTGGAGTCGCAACTGGATTCGACACACAATATCACTTTATCGCCATCGTTGAATGTGTTTTGTTATCCAAGACAAATTTCAGTGAATTGAAATGCAAAGTTACACCTACATCGAAGTAATTTCTTTCAAGCAAAACATTTGGATATAACAAAGCAAAACCACATACTTAGGGAAAAAAGCAATCCAGTATCAGTTGTTATTGGTTACAGACGTTTAAAAACGCGGTTTCTTGGTTCAGTTATCCATGGAATGTGTCAGGTGCAAAACTGCAAACTCACAACTAGTATCCCAACAAAAAAAAAATATGAAGTATGGTTACGCTTATATCTACCATCTCAAACATGTGTTGTGTCGCCTGGACACGTTGCAACTGTGTGCGACCAGCGCAGTTTGAGCCATCCCGAAACCGGAACCACCATTCGCTTTACACAGCAAAGAAATCACTAAAATAAGGACTACTGTTTAGTTCACTCAAAAGAACTGTGTAAACCCACACTTTCCTGCATGTGTCAATCTACTCTCAGGACTGGAATGGACAATCGGTTATCTCCTGTGGCATGGCAAACAGATCGATTGGGAGCATATTCAATAATATGCAAACAAATTCAGAGAAAAAAATCATTCATTGCCCGTACAGATCTACCATATGAAAAAGTCACGCATTAGGGTGAGTTGTTTTTTTTTACATTTGTTTGTTTGATTTTGTCCAACAACATGCAGAAAGACTGACTGACTCTGGCAGATGGTCACCAAGAGCAACTGAGATAAGCCCTTTGAGAAGGCAGCATTGCCTCTATGTTGGATACAATTAGGGATTTTCCAGGAAACAAAGATTTTAAAACCCATCAACTGGAGGTCGATAACTTATCCTGTATAATTCATTCCTTTCTAGCGTTTTTGGACTGAAAATGCGAATGAATATTTGTACAAACATCTGTAATTCATTTACAAACCGTCTTTGAAAAAATGAGCTTGTTCGCTCACGGAATCCACGGTCAGAATTTGCTAACCCCCGGGGAAAATGTTGATGTCCACTCAGATCAAACTGTGTCCTATCGATGATGTTCATCATTTTCCAGAGCTAAAATTGTGTGTGTGAGAGAGGCTGTAATACCCCAGTTGTTTCTCTAGCATCATTCGCCTAACCTGATGTGCAATCCCATTTTGGGGGAATCTTATTTAGATTCCATTTCATCAACATGATATTTGAGAATTCCTGAACACAGAATTCGGCCGTAGTTTGCAATTTTGATCGAGGTATACACGAATGAGATGTGAGCCCAGAGATAAACACACTTGTACATAGTTGGTCTGGACTGGATACAATGGGATGATGCTAAAGCTCATCACAAAAATATACTCTCCTATCACCGTCAGCAGTAGGTCGCTAGTCAATTTCCATTTTCTGTACTCTTTACCCAGTAGATAACATTTAAACATTCATGTGAATCGGTTTTCACCAAAATCAGTCTGTAGTAAAAGGTCGTGTGGAGCTCATTTAAAAATGTGTCTGAGTTGCGCAAGAAGTTTCATTATGTTTGATTACAAAAACTGCCAATCTTTGATTGACAATTGTGTGTATGTGCCACTGACAGGTCTTCAAAGTGCAATGAAACCGTTGAAATTCTGAAAAGAACAATTAGCAAGACACAGTTATCGAGCTTTTGGTGATTTGAACCCGGATTCATTGAGTTACAAGTCATACTAGTGAATGATCTGATTATTGTCCATTTGAACTTAACACAACAACACAGTGCAGCTGTAAGTTAGTACCAGTAAACACTCTTAATAAACATGTGCAACAAATCTGAAATTCGGAGCTTTGCACGGAGCACGCTTGTATTTGTACCAACATACCCACGTCATTCAAAATGAGCTCGAAAATTGTTACACGCATTGACAAGAACAGAAACATCCGGGATGCCTAACACAAAGCTTCATACTAAAATAGAAAGACTAAAATCTTATTCAAAATTCCTTCCTCTTTGCAGAACCACTTTTATGCAAGGAGAGGAAGATCATCTCAAACGCTTGACCAATACTTCCTTCAGTTTTTCACTAATTCCCTGGAAAAACCCAAGAAACGTTTCCATTATACAATCACACCACGCATCAGCACTTACAGAAAACTTGCAATGACATTCAAACCTCTTGAAACGATACCCGGATATCATCATGTGATTCTCAGACAACCTCAATTGCAATCAGTTTCAGTTTTTTTTATTTTTTTTACAACCAATAACCGTTCACCTTTGTGGACCGGTTTTTGTTGCTGTCTAGGATAACAGAGCAGAATGAAGACTGGAGTGCTGAAAGCAAATTCAAGCGGAATATGGATAATTCATATAGAGTGCTGTTAGGAGAATAATGAGTGGATGCACGAGCGCCACTGTTTGCGACACTCAGCCATATCACTCAGTGTCTCTAACCATCGGTGACCATCTCGAGGTCCCCAGCCGGAGAGCCTAACGAGGCCTCTGTGACCTAGTCTCCTGGTTAGGGTTTTCATACCCTCATGACAGGCCTCAATTGCAATATAGGTATCGCTAATCTATCATATTTTAATCACACTACAAAAGCTAACCCCATTTCAACTTTTGGTACAATCACAACAATGCACATGGACTACGATTGGCCAAAAATTCTCATGACCGAATTCAGGCTTGTGTGTTTGTGACAGAGAGAGAGAGAGAGTTATCTCAATCTTCTGTGGATAAAAAATATCACGTAAATATGACTATTCAAATCTGTGGTTCTAAATGCGACAGACGGATTTGAAAAAGGCATTGAGTTAACCAGCCCAAGGAGAGTTCCATGTGGTCTTTTCT